GTTACCAACCGTGGCTAATGGTACAATCAAGAAGCAAGGTAGTCATGCCTTCTGCTCACTGGAACCTGGTCTCAGAAGAGAAGAAAAATATCTCTGTGGAACAGAAAACAAAAAGAGTGTTTTTTTTTTTTTTAAATTTGTAGTTGCCCAAATAGTTTTAGTTCAATTTCTTTTGTAAAAAATTATTATTATTGTTATTATTATTTTTAGTGATGGGGGTCTCATTATGTTGCCCAAGCTGGTCTTGAACTCCTGGGCTCAGGGGATCCTCCTGCCTCAGCCTCCCGAATAGCTGGGACTGTTGGTGTATACCCAAAAAGAGTGGTTTTTTTGTTTGTTTGTTTTTTTAGAAAAGTAAAAACCATGATTAAGCTATGATATTTTTAAAAATCCCTTAAATTATTTAAAAATAGTTTTATAAATGCAAACGGTTTCCTTTCTACAGCTTATGAACTGTCTAGTTAATTTGAAACAAAGATAGGCAAACTCTAGGTATCTTATGGTCCTTGTTTTCTCTATGCTTATATTGAGTCTTTTATTTTTTTCCAAATAAAAGAAACACTTTAGTAGCTTCACTGGAGACCCTTAGGTAGTTGAGCTACTGGTTATAAAACACTTTATATTAATAGCAGCCAGGAAATCTGGCCAAATACTTATCTGGCAAAAATTCAATGTTAAAACGAGGTAAATTAGTTGTTACACTTGTTCAAAAACTTTGACTCTAAGTGGCTTTCCTAAACTATTTTCCAAAGTCAAAAAGGTCTCATAAACTTAGGTAGAAATATTTCACTTAAAAGGAGATATTGTAATACAAAAACCTTTGAGAAACAATAGCATAAATTTATACTCACATTTAAAATTGCAAAGAAATGATATTCTGGAAAATGCAAAACTATAGAGAAAGAATCATTAGGGAAATACAAACCAAAGCCACAGTGAGATACCATCTCACACCCATTAGGATGGCTACTGTTAAAAAACTTAGGGCCAGATGTTGTGGCATATGTCTGTAATCCCAGCACTTTGGGAGGCCAAGGTGGGGGAATCATTTGAGTGCAGGAGTTCAAGGCCAGCCTAGGCAAAACAGCAAGCCCACTCCAACTCCACGTACACTCACACAAATTAGCCAGGAGTGAGGGCGTGCACCTCTAGTGCCAGCTACTCAGGAGGCTGAGGCAGGAGGATCCCTT